TGTCCTAAGCTCCAAGGAGGACAAGGCAAATGGAGGACATTCAAGACAAATGGGGGGCATGATGAAATAGAAGCTAAATACATTAATAATAATAATAATAATAATAATAATAATAATAATAATAATAATAATAATAATAATAATAATAATAATAATAATAATAATAATAACAACAACAACAATAATACACTCATACGAATATGGAAAGATTTTGTAGCCCCTTTGAGACTCACTGAAAGAAAGTAGTTGGCAGCATGAGCTTTCCTTGGCTTCAGTCCACTTCCTCAGATGCATTTGTGGAGTGGAAAGCCCAAGGACATACACATACATATGACATTAGTATGTGGATTTTGAATTTGAATTGACATTCCTACACACTAATGGCTTATATAGGTCTGTCCTTGGGCTTTCCACGCCACCAAATGCATCTGAGGAAGTAGACTGCAGTCTAGGAAAGCTCATGCTGGCAACTTCTTTATTTCAGCAAGTCTCAAAGGGGCTACAAGACCATGCTGCCCCTCCAATCCCCAATATACATTTTCATAACACTATTTGTTTTTGATTTTGGGGGGATGTAATGCCCATGCCTACAAATGTTTTTTCCAACATCTCATATATTTTTCAATATTTTCAAGCTGTGGATGGATGAAACCATAGATAGGGAGAGCTGACTGTATATTATTGCACTCTGCTCAGAGAAGAGAGTCCTTCCTATTTTGATAAAAGTTAAGGTACAGTACTTACATTGACCTATGAATAAGTCGATTCAGGGTTTTGGGATCGGTTTTTGACTAAAATTTCTAGACTTATACATGAGTATATACAGTAAATTCATCTGCCTTACTTTTCAGAAATGCAGCTAGACACCCTGAGCCAATCCTTTTAACTGCTGCAAATTCAGAACACATAAAAAGATGCACAAGCTCATTGTTGAACTGCAACTCCCATCTACCCTAACCAACACAGACAGCTTCTGGAGGACTTCACTCTGCCCACCCCTGCTCTTGAATGAAGTTAGAGATTTTAACTCTTGAAAGTGACATAAAAGTAAAGCCTACATCCCTTCAACATTTTATCTACACCTGCATTTTTGAAAACATACTTGAAGTTGTAGCAAGTAACTGACAGTACAACTCGCTCATGTGAAATTTTAACCAATACATTGCACTTTGATGAATTGAAATGTGTGCATTTTTTATATTTAACTGCACTGTAGAAGTTGTCCCTGAACTTTCTTAAAAGCACACACATTTGTATTTCACATTTAGAATTTTATTGCTGTTGCCGCCTGTGTGTTACTGGCAAGATGACAGTCTATTGTGAGAGTACTATTAGTGCCATATGTTAACATATCAGACTTTTTAGTTTTGATTATATACTTTAAGAGAATTTTCATCAGCATCAAAGATATCAACTTGTAGAAACAATTCTACTTGAAAATGACTATCAGGAACGACTTGGAGTATAAACAAATGCAAAACAGATAATTCGTGGGACTGCATAACTATAAAGGATTTCTAGACTCAAAATGTAATGATCAATATCACAATCCCTTTATACAAGAGCCCATGCCACAAAATCTCTCAGCCACAAAACCGATGGAAGAAAAAGTAGAAAAACTTTTAAACAGAGGCCCATGCTGCAACTCCTTCTTGTTTTCCAAAACCACACAACTCTTCTTATACAGCCTTCTAAAAATAACTGCCAAGGGTGTCACTGCAAAGGGGTGAGGAGGTCAGCCATCTCTCCACACCCCTGTAATTCGGGCATGGCCAGAAATAATGAAAATGAAGAGAGAAGCCATTCCTTATCAAGTTAACTTTTCTGGCCCACCTCAGTCTAGGCTGACCATATTTCCTTGAGACAAAAATGGGGCATTGGGATGGCAAAAACGGGAATGAGATATGTAATATACCATATTCATGAAAAAGTAAGACGATAACAAAATTTCTATTACAGGAACATATTGAGCTAACAATTATTCTTCAGTGACAGAACTCATACAAAAACTTAGGTAGAGGTAGAGGGGGACTGGATTTCACCACGATCGTGCCATGAATATTCCTTCTCCAAGGAAGTAATCTTGCATAGAAAATTTTGGTCTTTCAACACCTTATCATAACATAACATGACATGATTTTGGGGTTTGGGTTTTTTTTTTTTTTTGACAACCATAATTTCAAAGAGGGATTTTCAAACATAGCAGGACATTTTTCTTGAAAACGGGGCAGAAATGACATTTATATTAAAACGAGGGGACGGTCTGGAAATATGAACAGAAGGTACTGTAAAACAGTACGTATGTTTAGCCTACCGCAGCCTCAGGTAGGAGCTGGTAGGGGTTTCCAGGCAAGTGGGAGACCAGGGCCAGCTTCTCCCTTTAAAAACCACCACAATAACAACCCCAGGTAGAGAAAACAACCAGGACACAATGCCAGCCCCAGAATCAAGGGCACTGCTCCTCCTGTCTTACCTCTACCCACCGTCGGGCTTCAGCAAAGGCTCCCTCGCAGGAGGCGCCCTCTGCATCCTCTTGTCCCTCCATGGCTGGCAAGGAAAAGGTGCCACCCAGGTGCTGAAGAAAGGAGGCTGGGGATACAGGAAAGGGAAGGGAGGGCTGTCAAAACCTTTGCTAAGGACGTTATCACACGTGGGCCAGAAAGCGATAATAAAGTG